TCACTAGACGCGATAAGTCGATCCCCAATAGATCGATTGCTACCCGCTGATCCGGCGGATAGTGAAGACGTGCCCTTAGATACAACCGCATTTGCTCCAATCCCTCAGACAGATTGAAGCACCTACAAGATGTCTATCAAGCATTCTTAAAACTACAATACCCACCTGCTGAAGTGAAAAAACAGATTGACAGAGCCAGAAGAGTACCCAGAAGTCACCTACTACAAGACAGGCCCAACAAAGAAAATAACAGAACGCCACTAGCCGTCACTTTCAGCCCCCAACTAAAACCTCTCCAGCGCATCATCAAAGATCTACAACCTATCCTGAAAGATGATCCCTCACTCTCACAGATCTTGGGAGACAAACCTGCCCTCGCTTACAGACAGCCCCCCAAGCTGAAGCAAATACTCACCAGCAACCACACACCACAGAACAAAAACACTAACCCAGGATCCTATCCTTGTAACAAAGCCCGATGCCAACTCTGTCCACATATCTATTCAAGTGACATCATCATAGGACCTAATTACATCAGCCACGCCATCAGGGGCTCGTTCACCTGAACATCTACCAATGTGATATATGCCATCATGTGCCAGCAATGCCCCTCTGCCATGTACATTGGCCAACTGGACAGTCTCTACATAAAAGAATAAATGGACACAAATCTGACATCAAGAATCATAACATTCAAAAACCAGTAGTAGAACACTTCAACCTCTCTGGCCACTCAGTAACAGACTTAAAGGTGGCAATTTTGCAACAGAAAACTTCAAAAACAGACTCCAGCGAGAAACTGCTGAACTTGAATTAATATGCAAATTAGACATCAACTTAGGCTTGAATAGAGACTGGGAATGGCTGAGTCATTACACACACTGAATCTATTTCCCCATGTTAAGTATTCTCACACCTCTTGTCAAACTCTCTGTAATGGGCTATCTTGATTATCACTACAAAAGTTTTTTCTCTTAATTAATTAGCCTCTTAGAGTTGGTAGGACAACTCCCACCTTTTCATGTTCTCTGTATGTGTATATATATCTCCTTACTATATGTTCCATTCTATGCATCTGATGAAGTGGGCTGTAGCCCATGAAAACTTATGCTCAAATAAATTTGTTAGTCTCTAAGATGCCACAAGTACTCCTGTTCTTTTTGCGGATACAGACTAACACAGCTGCTACTCTGAAACCTAAAATTAAAAAGTTAAGTGTTAACATTTAAATTATTATCTTTATGTTTCAAAGTTGATATTCTACTAAGATGAATGGGGCAGTACCCATCTCTTAGAACTATAGTTTCCAGCTCCCTGCAATAACTACATCATTTTACATTCAATTAAGATTTTTAAGGTTCACTTTGCAACAAACGGGGCTAGAAAGATTGTTTTTAAAGCAAACCAAAAAAAAATTAAAACAGATTATTGAGCACATAACTGAGGCAAGAGATTAATTCATTGGTGAATCCAGTGGCCATGGAACTGTGGAATACAAGGAGCCCTGCCTAATAGTCATTTTCCTGGATCTCTTTTAAAATACTATGTAGCATGCTTGAGCAGTTGTTACTCTCTCTCTTTTTAGTATCTTATTACTATTATTTTAAATAAGTCAATCTTCACAAGTCAGGAAAAACGGATACCACTATTGTCGACACTCAAAAATCAAGAGTCTAGCCTCCAAAAATCATAAGATTTGTTTAAAAATCTTGAGATTTTTAAAAATAGCAAGTATTGGGTTCTTTTTACTTGCTTTCTGGCTTTTGAGTTTTTGGGGTGCACTTGCTTCACATTTTCAAGCTTTTCTCTGCATCTGTAGCAGAGCTGCATTACACAGTTGGGCCAGCTGCTGGCTGAGTTTTTCCTTCCCAACCTTCCCAATAAAGACTCACTGTCATGCCCTGTCTTTCAGGCCTTTCTTCCAGGGCACTGTTTTATTAATGCAAAGAAAACTCACAACTTACACAGGCTGTCAGGATCCAGAGGCTGGCCAGCTGACTAACACACAGCTAGTCACAGGAGGCAACTTCCTCTTGCAGTCCCCCTTCAACTGAGCCCTGTCACCCTTTAATAGAAAAAAACCTGACCCCTTCTCAGCTGGGTCTGATAAGTTGAACATGGCAGGCCCCCTGGACTTAAAGGGGCACTGTGTTATAGCAAACATGAGGGCTGGAAACTTACTTTTTTAAAAAATGAAAGCTGAAATTTTCTTGCAATATCAGAATTCCAGCAACTGGGCTTTAAAACACTAAAATGTGTGAGACTTGCAATAAAATCTCAAGAGTTGGCAGCACAAATGTCTACACTGGGGGTTTTTTCCTCAGTGAAGTTACAACACAGTAGCTCTACCAGTGCAAATCCATAGTATAAAGCAGTGACATGTACCAGATACCGCTTACCCTGATTTGAAAAAAGCCAAGTGGAGACCAGCTATAAATAACTGCCTTCTCTGTACTTATCTGATATAGTCTCTTATCATGTCATCCGTGCCTAGTTTGCTTCAACAGCAATGCCAGCCTTGACATTCTGTTTACCCATCTTCCTCATATCTGTGCACTTCCTTCCACAATTCCTTTTATATATGGAACACTGATCCTTCTTCAGTTGGAAGCTGCTATTGTAATTTAAATCCCTCTGGAATACCCACTACTTCTGCAATGCCCCAAGAAATTAATTAATTGATTAGTCTTCTGTTTATTCATTCTATAGATCTTAAAAAACAAAACTAAACAAAAAACTTGACTGCATCATAGTGTGCACTAGACTTCACTGAGTACCACTGTAATCTTATTAATGTTGCCTCTGTCTTATCTCATCTACTCCTCCCTACCATCTTGTTACCTTATCTATTGTACTTTGTCTTAATTTAATTTCCTCCAATCGGGGATTATGGGTGAAATCCTGGCCTTACTGAAGTGAATGGCAAAAATCCCATTGAGTTCACTGGAGCTAAGATTTCACCCATTCTTTTTTCTCTACATTGAGACGTACCTCACACATTGTTGGGTAATACACCTCTACCCCGAT